CACCCCCCTCTCCCACCCCAGGCCTTCGCCACACTATTTTCTGTTAGTTATCTTCCAGGTCTCTGTGAGGAATTAGGAATACAACAGTAAATAACATTCATGTTCTAAAGGTATATGCAGTCTAGTAGGAGCACAGAGAAGTAAAGACAATATTCTATTGTAAAATCAAATGAGGCACAAAGGAGGGGATGCAGAGGAGGGTTAGAGAAGACATTGCAGTGAAATCCCTGGAGCTTGATATTGAAGAATCAGTAAGTGGGAAGCCATTTGAGAGGAGGAAGGAAACTTAACTGGACTTTGCTTTTTTTCATCTAGATCTGTGACATCTTGTGGATGTCACCTCATTTCTAAAGTTTTCTGGTATTCTAGAAATGACTCATGTAGTCTTAAGTTAGAGCATCTACTCTTGGAATAAATGTGAATCAATCATGCTGTCATGGGTTTCAGGATTACTGTGTTTCATAACATAAGAAAAAAATAATCCTGGTCCTATTTTACATTTTCATGCATTAGGCTCCTATTCTTGGATGAAATGGGGAAAAATGTTATGCATCTTTGAAAAACCAACTGATGGGATAGAAACTTAGAACCAAAACAAAATGATATCTAAGCAATTGTTTGAAGTAATATTTGATTTTGATTAAATTTGCTCTATAATGATGCTGTTTACAAAATCAGCTACCAGAAATTCCTAAGTTATTTTCATTATAGAGATAGTATAAAATAATTACATATTGGTATATTTCACCAGAAATATATGGGGATATCTAAAAGTTATACATTAACATTTACTCGTTTACATTTGACTCGAGGATATTATAGGAAAATTTCATCCTCTGTATCAGCACGCCTAATTTCTTTATTCAATGATGTCTACTTGGCATTTCATTTAAAATGGTTCATATCTACTTTCCCATTCCAGCAACTTCTAAGTATGTTATTTAAATTTTTCCATCAAACTTGTACTTTCATATTTTTCAAAATCAAATAGTGCAGAAGGGCTTGAAATAAGAAGAGAATTTTATGTTTTTGTGGTTAGTAGTATGAATATATGCTTACTTTTTAAATGCCTACTTTTTAATTTATGAACAATAGACATCTCTTGGTTTCATGTATCTTCTCATTTCTTCTCTTAATAATATTAGATTAGTCTACATATTTGTTTAGCTTAGCGTAATTCCCTCTCTTTCATTTCCTAGATATCTTACTTCCAAGTCGGAAGTAGAGCATTTTAATACCCTTCCCATTCTACCAGTTCTCCCTGCTTCCACCTTTCAACCTATCGTCTTACTCTTTAATCTTCATGGTAAATACTGACAACATATATATTCTATTGCATAATGAGTTTTCCATGTTGCCTACATGCGGATTTGCAAAGTTAAAAATCAATATCTGAAATTTGCATCTTTACAACTATAGTGTGAGCTGACTCATGTCAGGCTAGGGTCACATTTCTTTTCATAATTCCCAGTCACAGGCCCCCTGCTACTTGAAAAATGTCTGATGGATTCCTTCTCACTTTTACCAGTTGCTTAAAATGAAGCCATAGGCTAGTTTGATATTCCATACCATATCTTCCTTTCTCAATCATTTGATTTCGTTGTTGAAAAAAATCTTTGCTTTCTTAGATTTTTCCTCATTCTATTTATTGCTTGAAATCGAAATCTATTTCACTTACTTTGAGAAGCCTATGAACTTTTTTTAGTTGCTCCTTTTTTTAAAATGTGTAATTCCAGAATACAGTCTTTTTATCAATACTGAAAATCTCAACACTTCAGTCTTCCCAATTTTATTGGAAAACATGGAATATATATATTCCTAGTTTTAATCCCCAGCGTGCAATGGGTTTCTTTTATTAAATTCAAATTATGATTTTGCAGAATTTTTATGTCTCACATCTATTAAGACTGTTTTCTATTTAAATTTTAAAGAGTACTACTTGGGCTTTGCTCTAATAAAATCGTGTTTCCCCAGTAAGCTTATTTTTTAGTCTGATATTCAGTACTAATGCCATTTGCCACATTATTTGTTTTAGATGCTTCAAGAGAGAGCAGCTTAACTATTTCTAGAATATTTTTTATAATCCCAGTAGGTACAGTTAATTGGGTTCAGGCTACCTGTGAGATATTTTACTTATGTTAAATATAATATAAAAAATGCCCATATATACAAAATGCCCATATATTAGGCAGCGTTATCTCTGATTTTCAGGTGAGAAAGCTGAGATTTTGAGAAACTATTCAAACTGAATTAGAACTCAGATCTTATCTAGTAACAAGGTCTCTCCCTATACAAGCTGCTTCCATATAACTTACTGTATTAACAAAAACAATGTTAAAACAAATTATTTATGCAGATGCCCCAGCATTAATCAAAACATTAAGTTCAAGACAGCCAGTTGATAAACAGAGTTGGCTAAAAATAAATCAGAGACTAGATTACTCAGATTAGTGTAAAACTAGTAATTTAGGCCCCTTGGCACATTTTTCAGAGAGAGAGCCCTTTAAACTTTGTTAATTGCAAAATAACTACATTGCCCACCTGCCATCATCATAGAGGCTCCTTGTTGCTTTAATTCTGGAGAAAGAAAGATGCAGCTGGCTCACCAGTGTTTTTGGCTGGGACTCAAGACGGCTGGTTCTGCTTTGCCCTTTAAAACTGCACAAAAATCTACCCTCAAAGTCTAAGCATCTCATTTGCAGAAGGCACCTGTGCAATAGTGGAGCAGACACAGGGTCAGGAACTAAAAGATATATGTTCAAACCGACTCTGCTGCCTACTTGCTAGATGTGACTTCAGATTTACCTGCTGTGAGGGAAAAATAATATTTCCTTTATCACAGACTTGGTGTGAGGAGCAGTGAGCTAATGCATATGAACTGACTTTCCAAAATTCAAAATGTTATATAGGTGTAGCTATTTGTAGGTTATTTCTAACATGGTCCTATAGTGAAACCTATGCCAATGGCTGCCTTGTACTCTCTTACTCATTTGAAATCTACTCCTGATGAAATTCCAATTCTTAGGCCTCATTGGTTAGACCAGTTACAGCTTTACATGTCCCACAGCTTGGGTCATGTCATAGTCACCTGTATTCTTCAAATCAGTGCCCCTCACCCATCTAATTTTTTTAAAACTCAGAAAATGAGCCCAGTATGAGTTATAGAGCCTTAAAAGGCCCCAAAGTTATTTAAAATTGAAACATAATGACCTTTAAATGGGAAAGAGAAGTGCAGATAAAATTGGGCTCCTGACTCTCCTAAAAGTCAGCCATAGAAGAATGCAGGGAGCAGAATCTTCACTCTTAGATCTGTGAATGGAACGCAGCCTTCTGCCTACTGTGTATGTAACCCTGGGGGAGTGTCAACTTAACTGCCTCATCTGTCACCTGTAGCATGGAGGTCGTAATGCATACCTCAAAATATTATTGTGAAAGTTAAATGCGATCACATATACAAAGGTCTACACTTCCTACCATACAGTCAATTGTCAATATTGATCCCCATTTTTTATGAATATTAAAAGACCTCCATTAATCCTTAGCCCCCCCAAATTTTTCAAAGAAATTTGCAATTACTCCCCAATGTAACTAACTTCCCTATGGTTGTATAGAATGAAACTTTAAATGTTTTTTCATAAGCTTATACATTTATCTGTGACATTACTAAAATCTCAGGGATCTGAATTTTTCAGTTGGGATAAAACCACAAATTCTCATGATTATTAATAAAATATGCATAATATTGTAAAAATATAATGCGCTATAAGATATTTGTACATCTGTACCACATAAAGTATATGTATTGCATATGTATATCATTAAGCACAAAAATCGGAATCAGTAAGGGGAGATGATCATGGGAAGACATTGGGAAGCAAAGGGAAGATGGAAGAAAAAATAGCAGATAAATGTCATCATCTCACACTAGAATATAAGCTTTTTTGAGTCAAAGAGGGAGCTGAATTGCTTGTACTTTTAACATACTCTCTCTCAGTGAAAATTTTTTAAAAAGTGCAATGCAGCACTGACCAGGTGACTTGGTCAGAGCATCGTCCCTGTGCACCAAAAGGCTGCAGGTTCAGTCCCAGGTCAGGGCACATACCTAGGTTGCGGGGGTTTGACCCCCAGTCAGGGTGCATACTGGAGCCAACTGATTGATATTTCTTTCTCACATTGATATTTCTCTCTCTCTCTCTCTCCCCTCTCCTCTCTCTAAAATCAATAAAAACATATCTTTGAGTGTGGATTTTTTTTTTAAGTTCAATGCATATATGTAAAAGTGTAGTTTTATTGTGAATCACCCCAAATGAGCAAGTCAATAAAAGAGCAAAAACTCATTCAGGTCTTCAGATTCCAAATCCAGGACTGCCCAGTAACCTTCTAATTGTACCAATGAGTCCAACACTCCCATTTCACTACCCTCTGCTTTTCTGTCTTCACACAGGCAACTACGGAGAAAGTGGGATGGAAGCTTTCAAAGATATGTCGGCCAAGGAAGGAATTTGCATTGCTCACTCTTACAAAATCTACAGCAACGCAGGAGAGCAGAGCTTCGATAAGCTGCTGAAGAAGCTCAGGAGTCACCTGCCCAAGGCCAGGGTGGTAGCCTGCTTCTGTGAGGGCATGACTGTGCGAGGACTGTTGATGGCCATGAGGCGTCTGGGTCTGGCTGGAGAATTTCTGCTTCTGGGAAGGTGAGTGACAATAAGAAAATTCACATGGAGTTAATACCAGGAATTTGGCAACATCAGAGAGTATCTTTAGGTGCACAAGGATAGTTGCTTTGGAAGCTTAGTCTATGTAGTAGAAGTAGAACTTAAATATAAAACACCAGAGCCTGGAAATAATCATGGGAAAAAGTAGATATGCCATGTGCTGATTAATGATGATAATAGGGATAAACACATAAAAATGATGAGTCCTTAAGTCCTCCAAAAAATGACTATAAGGAGACGAAATGGATTCCTAAATGCTTGCATAATTCCCTTGGGAAGTGAACACATTTCAAACTTTTTGCTGTTGCTTCTGAAACTGATTTTGAGAATGGCTACATAAGCTTGTTTTATAATACAGAATCATTGAATTTGGGGTTTGAAAGCAAGGAATTGCTTTTAGAACTAATTTTTAAAAGCATTGGAAAACTGGCTCATTATTTTATATAACAAAAGTGTTATTATATTGCCTGCTACCAGACAAGTTTTCGAAACGATTAACTTCTACAGGATTGACTTTAATTGTCTGGATAATCCACTTGATTGGCACAATTTAGTTCATTCCCTGCTGATGCTGTTGAATCAGTGTATTAGTCAGGCTTTTGCAGAGAAACAGAAATGATAGTGTGAGTGTATATAGCAAAAGACCCAGGAGAGCCAATATTGTAGTTTTCATCCAAAAGCCAGCAGCGCCTGAGACCAATCAGAGACAATATTTCAGTTCAAGTCTGAAGACCAGAAAAGACCAATGTCCCAGTTCACTCAGGCAGACAGGTGGGGTTCCCTCTGGCTCAGCGTTTTTGTTTCATTCAGATCTTAGGTTGGTTGCATGAGGCTCACTCACATTAGGTAGAACAATCTGCATCCTCGGTCTGGTCTCCAGGTACAAATGTTAATCTCTTTTAGAAACACCCTCAGAGACACACCCAGAATAATGTTTGGTCAAATAAATGTCTGGACACCCCATGGCCCAGTCAAGTTGTCCCATAAAAGTAACCATTGCAATCAGTACGATGACACCATAGCTTGAACGTGTGAATGCAATTCACCATTCTGTACCTTAAAGAGTTATCATGTGATCACGTATCTTTTCTTAGTAGGGAGCCAGTTTAAAGAATATTGAAAACTTTCAGAACCACTCCATCTTTCTCAATATTACTGTCCAAAATAGAAAGCTAACTCACTTGTTATTAATTTTTTGATAGCTCATTAAAAAACAAAACCAAAAACAGAAACCAACCATGAATCCTTTATTTTCCAAATGCTTCACTGACCTTCTGTGATCAGACATAGCTCCTGCTTGGTTATATTTTATGATATCAACTTTACTTACTTAATCCTTTCCTGTCTGATCTGATGGCAGTAGATTGATGGTCCTATTTTAATGTGAGGCTACTATCCTTCATAAACATCCTTCATATTGAGTGAGATTCCTTTACATCGATGTCATACGTTTTATCTAAGATCACCCCTAGTTGGCAAGAGTGATGCACCAGTTAGTTTCATACAACCCAGGGACATTCCCTCTGCCGATATTCTTATATTCCAGAGTTCAGTATTGCCACTGGGGTAAAAACAGGAAAGAGCCCGGCTGGGCATGGCTCAGCGGGTGAGCGTCAACCTGGGATCCAAGCGATCGGGGTTCAAATCCCGGTCAGGGCACATGCCCGGGTTGTGGGCTGCAGCCGATCAATGACTCTCTCATCATTGATGTTTCTATCTCTCTATCCCTCTCCTTTCCTCTCTATGAAATCAATAAAGATATATTTAAAAAAACACAACAACAAAAACAGGAAAGAAAAAGCTGGCTTTCAACAATCCTGCCTTCCCGATGGGGAATGAGCGATCTTGTGCCCTCTATCTGTTTTTTGCCAACGTTAATGAGACAAATCAGCAGCACTTGTTTTCAGCCACAATTTGTCAACAACTGTTGTTTTTTTTTTTTTATCATATGTACACAGGGGAAATGGATTGACACTATATTTCTTACTTTCCATCTGTATTTTTATTGCCAACAGTACCACAGGACCATATTCAATATTTTGTATGTTTTAAAATTTATTCTGTATATGCTGTTTATAAGGACTTCTCTTCAAATTATTTAAGTCATGGAATAATAGTTTGATACCCTTTAATTAGGTCTTTTAATCCCTTCATTGATTGGCTAGTAATAATTGAACATTTACTTGAGCACCAGTTCATTAAATCTGTGAGCTATTTTTTTTAGAAAAGTCTTCCTTTCTTTTTTTTTCTTTTTTGGAAAGTATCATGTGATACTCTTTTAAATATTTGGAAAAACTAGCGTTCCCTCCATCTTCTCTTTGAGGCATTCCCACTCCTTCCATTCCCACTCCTTCCTAGTGAAGCGGTGCTCTAGGTGTTAATGAAGCCTTATGGGGTCATTTACCAAATGCGCTATACCTACTGCTATGCTAAGCACTTTATATGAACTGTTGTATTTAATTATTCGTGTGAGAAATACCCAGTGCCTGTACTGTGTGTTAAAATACTTGGGGTACATCAGTGAATAAAACAGCAACAGTCACTACTCTCATAGACCTTACAGGTAACAAGTTAAATATAAAATAATAAATGCAATGAAAGAGATAAATCAAAGAACAACTTGCACGTTGAGCACTATTGTCATCTCCATTTTATAGGCAAGGACACTGACTCAATAAATATTGAGTAATAAGGATATGAAGAAGGCCCTATCGATGCACGTGAGGAAGGCAAAATTAAAATAAGTCTGTGTGACTCTAGAGACTTGAGTATTTAACACTGTATTTTACTGCTTCTCAGTAAGTGTAAAGTATTCCTGATCGTAAAATTGGAGGTCTGGGGTAGTGAGCTGAAAAGCAAAATTTAATAGTTGTAAGAGAGAATTTAGACCATCTACTCACTCTCATTTTATAAGTGAAAAAACTGATACTCCAAAAGCTTGGATGACATGGTCAGGGTTGTACAAGAGCCCAATTACCATGACTTGTAATCCAGTGCTTTTTCTCTACTAGTCTGTTTCCTATTGAATAGAAATAGGGGAGAAGTTATAATGTGTTAGCAAGTTTTCAGTTCTTTATAGATCTTAATGTATAAGGAAACTCTCCTACTTAATTCAAATTTAAGGTAGCCTTTTTAAATTAATGTTCTCTTCTAAAAATTCCTGTTCAATTCACCCTACAACGTCTCTTAGTATTTTGAGATTATTTTGTTTGTATGTATTCTCCCAATCTCTCTTTATGCTTCCTCCTTCCTCCACCCCCAATTTAACTTGGATGGATGGTTCTTAGAAACTAGAAGTCAAAGCTATGAGAAAAGAATCTATATTCAGAACTTCCTAGAGTGTCTCACATTTAACAGATTTAGTGCTTTATTAGCACTTAACAAATTATCTGGTGCTTTATTCTTGTATAGCACCAGATAATTTAGCAAATTTACTATGTAAATTTACTAGTTACTTATAAATCTCTGCAGTGGCCTTGGGACAGCCAATTTTAATAGGTCATTCAACTAAAATGTTTGGCAGGACTCAGATAACTCTGCTGCTAAGACAGCCTCATCCATCAGCATATCTCACCATCTGTGCTGCACGTCAGTAGAACGTTGGAGTGACACAGACCTGGCCGCTGGGCCTTCTCATTTGAGATCTGGGCAATCTGCTGCCTCACTGCCAATGAGTGTCCCATCCAGGTCCCTGAAATAGTCCTGCTAAACACTTTGGCTCTGACAACAGGATGGAATCAATAACCTAAACAAAAATGACGTTTCCAAAGGGGCTTATTTTTATGGAATGGATAGTGTTTTAGTTCTTGACCTCAGAAAATGTTATTTGAGATATATTATTTATGAATTGTTAACCTGAATATGAACTTGGAAACAAGGACCAACTTTTAGCAAATTTACTATGTAAAGATCGCTTTATCTTGTCTATGATTAACTGAAATTATTTATCTCTGTCCTTTAATATGATGATTGTTACCAGTCCATAAGAGAAAATATACTAAAATTGCAAATATACTTGAGAATTTTAACTGGTATTTCTTAGTAGGAAATCATCCAACATCAATATTCTTCAAAATGGAAAGGACAGGAGCTTACTCTAATAAACTTCTTTGTGGATAGAATTACAAATAATCATTCTAGTAAAATTATGATAGGAGTGGGGGGAAATGTCAAGGATGAATCCTAGTTTCTTAGGTTGTATAACAACATGAATGATGGTACCTTTAGTGAAATGAAGACAATAGGGAAAAAATCATATATGAGGTAGAGAGGAGATCATAAGTGCGGTTTTGGATAAGTTGACCTAATTTGGATTTCAAATAGTAAAGCAGGAGAATATGTGAGCCTGGAGCTGAAAAGAGATATATAAGCTGTAAATAAAAATGAGTGAGTCATCTTAGTAATTCAGCTTTACTAATGGAAGACATGAGTGTGTATAATCAAAAGAGAGAAAGTCTAAGAACTTAGCTTTGGGGAACCTCAATATTTAATGGTTGGAAAAAAGATGAATTGTAATAAGAAGAGAGGGAGAGGCAAATCCAGACTTGTAGGAGGAAGTCCCAGAGGGTGTCTCATCACCCAGCCAAAGGAAGAGAGTCTTTAAAGGGGGGACTCCAGTGTCATGATTCTAGGAGAGCAAGTGAAAATAATAGTGAACGGGCCTTTGGATTTATTGAGATGGAAGGAAGTAATGATTTAGCAAGAGATGGCTGCATGGAGAAAGAAAAGCAGATTCAGTATAAAGCAGCTAAGAAGTGAGTACTAGGTAGAAAACGAACCCAGGGCATATAAGCCACTGTTTTGCGACATTGATCTAATAAGGAATGGAGAATGATTAAACTTTATCTTGAGGAAAAATCAGGTCAAGAGAAAGATATTTTAGCATAATTTTATTTTTTCCAAAAAGCAATTTATGTTCATCAAAGTAATTCAAATGGTAAACAAGGCTGTATAGTGAAAAGCATATATATTTCCACATC